TAGATCATCAAAGGTACATATACAGTGTTTAAATAAGGACATGATGGAACATCGTAGGCTACCCTGTAGCTTTTCAACGAATAAAGTCCTATAAAAGTCATTGTGCAATAAAATCCCTCTGACGGGAGTCGAACCTGCGACCTCTCGCTGACAAGGCGAGCGTCATAACCACTTTACCACGAAGGCTTCATGGTTCAACAGGTCCAAATAACCGTCGGGAACATTTTATTACACAATGCTACACGTTTTAGCGTTCGGCCAGATAAATCTGGCAATCTTTTTTTGACCGTACATACATAATATATAATACTTCTAGCTGTATCTATTTAATATTTTTTTAGGATAGGCTTTAAAAGAAACATTTTGGAAGATGACTGTATTTCCATCTAAACAATTTTCAATTTCAAATATTACACCTGTTGCTGAAACATAGCAAAGACTACTATAATAATTTTGATTATTCCCAAATAAAATTAGAGAAACCGTGAGGCCACATTTGATCCTACATTTCGTTTTCTATTTTAACAATGTCGGATAATTTTTGACACAGTTTGAATAAAGAATGAAACTGAATTATGGCCTCACAGTTGTCAATCTTCAGTTATGCCAGTTTCTAGCTAATTTTTATAAAACAATACTGTCGAACATTATATATTGTTTTCTCATTATATTTAAAATTTATATTTATAAAGTATATCTGCATGCATTTGTTTTTGTTGAAATAAATTTTAATTTTAACAGTATATTGTTGTACATTTTCATTATTTAATTGTTTGTCTATGAATATGCGAGATTTGATGATGTTATGGGTGAATTACGACGACAACTTGTGATTCTACAGTATTTTAGTGATGATGTAATAATAATGCAAGTCTGCAATTTAATGTTGAAGAGTTTATTAAATATTCAGAATAATTGTGAGTGCATCAATGGTACAAATCAAAAATCAAATTTTTTTTTGTTTAAATTAGTAGTACACTACTGTACTTTCTTAAAAATGTGAATACTGTAAAACGTATTGCATGTTTATAAATTTACATGGAATACTGAAGAACTGAATTCTAGGATATTGTCATTTCGCGTGATCTGGCACTGTAAGGCTATTACTATGACGTCATTTCTCGCATCGAAAATAGCTGCTTTTTGGCTGATCTGGGAAAGGTAGTGAAAGCAATATATCCCTTTGTTGTTTTTTGAAGCAAATATGTCCACCACTCTACCAGGCCAGGAAGGGACTTTCACATATGATGGCCGTGGTGGGTTCAGGACGAACTAGAGGGGTTTCCAGTGGGGGAATTTCACAAAAATAGAAGCCCGGGTCCACCTACAGTACCTCAGCCGGCTGCGGCCTTACCACGGTTGGGGTTGAGGAAAAGAAAATTCATGATTATGGCACCGATAGATGGTCGAAAATGGAGCCCTCAGACTTAAATTTAATTATAAATTACTGTATGTTTTGTTTTTTCTCCATTTGCTTTAAAACTTTCAAAAAATTATGTGGGCCCCGAGGCGGCTCTCAGTTTTCCATCCTATTAGTCTTAAACATTCGTTAATACAGTATATAGCCAGTGTTTTCGCATCAAGCAAATTTGTTCATATGGCATCTAATTTTATGAATTGTAATTATCAGTTATCATTAATCAAAGCTGCAGTTCACAAAACATCATATAAGTCCCTCATATACCTTCTGTTGTATAAACTTGATGTTAAGAATGATAAAATTCCCATAATTTTATATCATAGCCCTAAGCTTATTTCCTTAACTAAAACACAGAAATATTACAGTGCTCTAAAGCAAGATTCTAACATTGAGCCTCTATCATTGTTCGCCGTCAGCCACCCAATTTAAAATGTTTGTTAACATATCCAAGTTACGCTCACCTCCAACATAGTAACAAGGTAAAAGGACTTTCTTATATCGCGCATCAAAAAGTTGGAATGAACTTCCAAACGAAACAAAAACTAACTTTAAAGAAATGACCTTAGTTTCATTCCAACATTCTATTAATTTTAAGTTTTACATTGACTCTTCTTTTGCCTTTTTTTTTTTTTTTTTTTTGTAGTATCTTCTTTCTATTTCATGGTTTGTTTGTAACTGTACCACTTTGAAAAGCAGTACTCAAGTACTGAAAGTGCATGCAGTCTAAAGAAAGAATAAATAATAAAAAATAATAATAATAATAATGATAATAACAGACCATGTCTTAAATCGAGGTAATTCTACGGATAAGATATAACTGGGACGAATTTCAAAATGCAAACAAACCTTACCCCAAACCTTGCTTGTAATATATCGAATGCTGTGTACTGTACATTGTAACAAATGCAATCTAGGCAATTATATTGGTGAGACCAGCACAAAACTAGACATTAAGTAATCACAAGAAATCTGTTAGAATAACCATGACAAAGAAATAAAAATAAAATAAAATATTTTGGACAGTTAGCGCACCTGCCGCTCATTCATACAGTATCTACGGATCTAAGCCTAGATTGCCAAAACCCAGTTTGAATGCATTCAGTGGACTGCGTTTCGCCAAAGTGAACACGGCAAACTGCTTTTCAGCAAACTGGTCGGACACCGTATCTAAGCTGGCCACAGATATGCAGGGGCCGTGCATTAATTTCTCAAAAAATCATTTGGAGCATTTAGATAACAATGTTCTCAAGTTCAATTTCCATTCAATTTAATAGTTTACTGGTGTTCCAACTAACATTATTCAACATCAACTATGTGCCTAACAGCAGAAACATCTCACAACCTCCACACAACTGCTGGAATTGTCACAGTTCATTTACCTACAGTAGGTCATGTGACTCCCATCATGAAATCCCTCTGTTACTACAGTAGTATTTCATCTCACAATAGTAAGATATAATAGTCATGACTTCACAATTGACTTGTAATGATTTATATACGTCATATATATGTCACAACCAGTAAATTACTGTACTAGTATTTAAATTTTGGTGACAGGAGAAAAAAAGAACTAAAAAAAAAACAAACTTTTTTTGCAATTTTCTCCTATGCAATTTTCCGCATTTTAAAGGGCAAACAAGTGATTTATTTTTTTAGGCCTTATCAGCCTGCCAGGTGGCCTTTTCACCTACCAGTAGTTCTATGAATTAAAGCAGTTTGTGCAAATAAAAATGTAAAAAAAAAACTAACATTCTGTTAATTTTGTACTGTACAACAAATAAATCAGACAAAGTAGAATGCTTTCAGTGGCATAACAAGTGGACCTCAGGCCCTGGCTACTGTATTGCTTGTTCGGGCCCTATAGTACTCCCTGTGGGTTGGGTCTGGGTAGGGCCTATGGCAGAGCCAAATTTAACTCAGAAGTGTTTCTTTAATAAACAGTTATGATAAAATACTAACTATTAGTACTCAATTTACTCAAATACTGCTTAACCCCCTGTGTATAAGAGACAGGGTTACTTGATTGCAGATGATATTGACTTTCTGAACTTAATAATGATTTTGATAATGTCTTTCCAATTAAAGTTGAAGATTGGAGTTTGTTTATTAATTGAAGGTAGGGAACCAAAGTCAGAAGTTGGGTGATCTCATACTCTAAATTAATGGGTTCAATTTTAGATGCCACCAAGGACATAAAGCTTAGAATTTATTTGCGACCCACTTGACATTTAACTTTGGTTTTGTTTGTATACAGTATTTTATGATTTTATATATAAAATGAAAAATTATACAGTTGAACTTGCATACCGTAAGTCGAATCCAAAATAGAAAAGATTTATTTTGATTCTCTGGTGCATTTAATAATAAGCCTGTGTTTAAGTACAGGGGAGGATTTGCCCGACGTGGGTAAAAGGTCCCTGACAAAAAAGTGGCGTCGTCAGACAACAATTTAGGGGTTTCAGAGGCTTATTTTAATCGATTTTAGAGTCTGTTAATATGTAGAATGTACATGTAATTTTTTTTTCTGCCCGATGAATTGTGGTTTTTCTCCCTAGGGGCAGGGGAAAAGTCTCCCCCTGTACGCATATGACTTGATCAGACTTTGTAAATTAAAAGGTTATTAAGATTCTACTACAAATTTTGGAATATTGTGATATATAAAGTTAAAGTCTAAACAGAATAAATCTACTTTTTTTTAAATAATACAAAATGCTATTTAAATTTTAGCAGCGGGTATGTGATAGTATGTCCGGATTCCATACGCCCTGGATTGCCACTCGTGGTCAGCGTAAAAATTGAAGTTGTACAACCTTTCATGTTGACTGTTGAGATAATGAGAAACTCTGTTATCTTAAATGAGACAGTAACATTCTACAGTACAGGCGTGGCTGACACTATTGATTTACAGGTACTGTACACATCAAATGAAGAAATTTATTTAAATAATAAAATAATAAATACAAGATACAAAATAGTATCAGGTACAAAATAATGCCTTATTCAAGAAAAATGCTAAATAGACTACTTACTACTTAGGGACTGTAAGTCCCTAAGTTGAGACCTTTTATTGGTTTGTTTAGCGAACCATTCACCTGCTCGATTTTAAATAAAGAATTTTATTTTTTGCCAAATTACTGCACCAATCAGGATGAAAAATGGAAATTTCAGAATAACACAATTTTTTATTTGTTTTTATTACGCCTGCCGCAGCTTGATGCTTAGATTTTTTAGACTTCTTTAATAACTTGTTTAGCAAACCCTCCAACTGCCAATAATGGTGATTTCGAATAAATATCCACCTTGATGGTTTTGGCAAAACCATTTATTTGCTAATAAGAAAACAATATTTTATTTCAGTTTTTTTCCAAGCTCCTCTTATGATCTTTCAAAAAATGATTTTAACTATTTTGAAAAATTCTTGAAACAAGGTTTAAAAAAAGTTTTGTCTTTGGTAGAATTTACATTTTTAAAGTTTGTCATAACATCTAGACAGAACAGAAAATTTTTAAAAAATTAATTTTATGGGTGAATTTAAACAGTGTAGAGAAAAAAAATAAAAATAATATTTAAAATTTATATGAATAGATAAATAATAGAAAAAAACAAGACAAAATACAGAGGAATTTGAAATATTTGTATCATTATTAATATTAAAATTATTAAAAAATACAGAAGACATGAACATCTAAAAGTTAAACAAAAACTATTAGGCCTAATTTTAGAAAGACTTGCAAATAAAAAAATTATAAATTAAGAACAATTGTAAGCCAATATTTGGTTAAAATGGACACAAACATTTAGATTTAAACATACTAGTCAAAACTGGGTTACCTTATGTATGCTAAAATGCTCTGATACAATTGTAGACATTCCTTTATTCAACATTTATTATCAGTTCTAAACTGAAAGACTTATTTTTTGGGGGTTAATCTTTGCAGTAATAACATGGTCACTTTAATAATAATAATAATAAAAATAATAATAATAATAATAATAATAATAATTAATAATAATAATACCCAAACATTTATAAGGCGTCAATTCCAATTGAAAGTTCAAAGGCGCAAGGGTTATTACCCCCGGTCACTGGATAACGTACAATGACAAACCAGTACAAAGTGCAACCTTCTCTGCTCCCTGGGGAGTATCCCTAGTCATTTGCTACTTCTTTAGCGCACAAAACTAGAACATTTAATGCCACATCCTACCAGT